CGACTTTTCAAAACATCGGGGCGGCCAATGCCCCTCAGTCTAGCCGGCTCCCCAACTGCTGGCTGGCTGGGGGCGGTGCCGCGCCCGAACCGGCGACCCTCGAGCCGGCGGTCGGCTGGGTCAGCGCTTGTCCCGTCTCGCCATACGACAAGACCCCTCCCACGACGGGGAGGGCATGGCAATAGTGCTTGCAGTACCGGTGACTGGGGAGTGACAACAGTCCGCACAACGCTGCTGACCGAGGCGGCTAACGTCAGCGTGGCTTGGCACAGTGCCAACCACTTCGTGACACAAAGGACAACGGGCTGCTGTGACGTGTAGCGATGGGCCCCACAGAAGGCTAGAGACGCTGACAATAGGGCCTCGCCTCCTTCATTTCTTTATCATTTCTAACCTGGGAGGCCAGGCTATAAGACCTCCTAGGAGCCCCCCTAGGAGGGGGTCGGCTCATTCCACATACCCACACGCACATGAGAGGCAAGGAGGAGAGCTAGCTCCTTCTTTCTCCTCCACCCAAACATCTCTAGGAGCACCATTGTAGCCCTTGTGATCTTTATAGTTGACCCAGCAGGACTAGGGATGTTACCTCACACGAAGGGCACCAAAGCTGGGTACATCGTGTGTCTCGCATCGCTTGTGCCCAATCTCGCTTTCGGAACCCACCGGTGCTCTTTGGCCCCAACCACCTTCGATAAGCCATCCCATGATGTACCCATGATAGTTGGCGCCCACCATGGGGCCGCACGTGGTGTTGGCTGGAGTCACGTTCCGGACGAGACCCTTCATCCCCTCCGGCGAGCGCATCATGCACGGTTTGGTTTGCATGCTTGCTACGTCTGGCTGCGTCGCCAACGGTGCGACACTCGGCACAGATGTTGCCTGCCCTGCAGGCGGCTCCATCGTTCCCTTTGGCGAGTTGCACATCTTCGTCACGCTCATCCCCAACAAGTACCCTAGAGAGGTGCTCACCTTCTCCGACCCGTTGCCATCCGGCGGCAGCGGCCTCTTCGATGATGTCGCCGACCTCTGTGTCCGCGTGAAGGTGCTGACCACCGGCTCTAGCCAGGCCTCCGGCCGCAGCAAGGGTGCGACCGCTGCGGTTACCGCTCGTGCTGGTCAGTCCAAGTCCCTACACTCTGAGGTGCAGAACCTGCGCACCCCCATCGCGCCTGGTGTCGACCCGACTGCTACCTTGACCGA